GAGATTTGTGCGGTGTATTTTATTCCAACGTTTCACTTTATTTCATCAGGGAGGAACAACCTGTTACAGTATCAGGTAAAATTGTTCGCGAAACGGTGGAATAAAATGGCAAAACTTACGCGGCTGCAATCCCTGGGCTAAAGCCCAGTACGTGTAAAGATAGCAATCGCGAATGCCTATAGCTACGTTTGCTTCTATGAAATTAAGAAAAAAAAAGTAGGAATTGTACGCCATAATTTTATACACGCCTACATATGGCTAGACAGCGTTAACAGGAAAATAACTCAACGTACAAAACAAATGTTTCGTATAAATAAAGTAAAAAGTGACGCATATGAAATAGGTAGAATATCCAACTCCTTTTATGCTTTCGTTTGAAAACAATTTGCTTTTATTTTCTAGAAGAGAATTAACTTTTATTTTTACACGTCATCTTCGTATCGCGAAGACCATCATATCCGTCCGCATAATTAACTTTCTATGAATAATGACAATACAAAGCGCAGCGTAAATATATAAAAATTACGCGAGTAGCTTTAATAAAAAGCTTTAATTGAATAGAAAATTTTCATATTATAGCTATAATATGAAAATTAAAATTAGCGTAAAATATTCGCGAATATGCTTTACGACCGATTAATTAACGTCACGAAATACCTCATAATGGCTCATTAAGTAATATCTATTTATTAATATTATAAAGTAAGCTGGAATCTCAGTATAACGGTATTCCTATAAAATGATGAAGCGTCACGTTAATGCCAAAGAATCCTTCAATCTTGAATTTGAATCGATATCACCATTTTCCTCTCCCCCGCAGTAGGTCTTGACATCTCAGAAACGTGCGTGTCGCAGCGATCCTAGACGGGTGAATAGAAGCGCAATAAGAGCTATAGTATTCGCTCTTATTGTGGGATGCCAAGTGCAAACGACAAACGTGATGGAAGTAAATCGTTCAAAGCACCCCGTGTGTTTTCGCGTAAGCTATTATTAAATAGGGGTTTTACGGAAATGAAATACTCTACGCTTGAGGATTTGACATGCCATTTCATTTCTTACTCTCTCTCTCTCTCTCTCTCTCTCTCTCTATTCTAACTGACAATTTTCTGTTACCGAATCTTCATTGTTGTAAATATTCCCTGCGGCTAGCGGGTTTCTCGAAAGCAATATTCGTAATGGCGCGCGATGCATTATTTTCGTGTTTTATCAAATTTTACACTGCGTATCCGAGCAAGTTTTAATCTCGCATCGTGTTTTATCAAATCCTATGCAGCACGTTTGAGCACATTTTAATTTTGTACATAATCTGAGGTAGCTTCATTTTTTAACGACTGCAATTGTAGTACGTCGCTTGGTACACGTAGACGACAGATGTTGTCTACGATAAGAGAAATCGGTGGACTGTATCGGAATCCCAATTTAATCAAAAGATAAAAGCTTACGAGACAATCTGCTTTAAGTCATTTACTTCCATCATGTTTATCGTTTGCACTTGACTTCGCACAATGACGTAGGGAGGTACCGCTTCTATTCTTCTGTCTGGGATTGCCTGTTCGAAAGATATCGAGCATGAAGGTTGTACATTTATCTTAAAATCCTTTGCCAAATGCGCCGTGATGTAATGCAAAGCGCTTTGCTGTTTCTTTTTTTTTCACGTTAAATACGATTTTCGTGTGAATCCAGCAGCATTACGTATGGGTAACAGACATTTTCATTCATTATGCATGTGAGAAACGGAGAAGGTGTGTCACCGAGAAATTAATTCCTCCCATCTAGCCTGTATTCCCGGGATGTAATCGTCACAATTCCGTGAATGCCGTAACATGCTAACGCCATAATTTTCAATCAGTGACACACCATTCTTCATGCACGCTTGCAATGATCGTTCAGTTCGATAATTTTGTCATGGCCTCGGCGATTGAAAGGAAATGGGGAAATATCGACAGTGTCGTCATTCGACGTGCGTGGTAGGTCGGAAATTGTGCTGCATTTTGTGAAAGAAATTTTTAGTACAAAGAGTAATTTACCCCTAACTTTTGTTATCACTTCGCTGTTGTTATCGTACAGAAATTAAAAGAATATGAATGATGTAATATTTTAACATTTCAAACAAGTTATTACAAGTTTAAAATTTATCTGCAAGGCTTTTAAAACAACTTCTCGAGTACTCTTTTTTATATCTTTATTAAGAAAAAGTTGACTATAGACTAGAGGTTACAGAGTTCCTGGATCAAGAAACCTTTTATATGCAACGTAAATATACCTTTGTAGTCACTTTTTATAGAAAGAACTGTAATAGAGGCCTTTCCCATTGACCAATTATTAGCTACTGTATATTAAACAACAAACTTTATGATTTGTCATCAAGATAAAGAAATGTAAGTAAAAAATTTCTGAAAAGAAATTTGCGAGAAAGTGTTGCAAGTAATCGATACTCGATAAAAAGATATATGCAATGCATTGGCTCATATTGAGTTTTCCGTGGAATAACTTGCCGTACAGTCTCCGCGTTGTGATATTAAAGTATATATTTTATACTGTATCACATAAAAGAGGTACAGCTATATGATATAAAAGTGTCTACACAGAAGTACACACAAGAAACTTGAAAGCGGTCGATTTACAGCGTTTAGAAAATCGCGGTTTTCATAGAGAGCTAAATACGATATAAACCACCATACAGCGGTAATACATAGGAAGATGATTACGTGAGATAATGTGTTATCAATCCATAGAAGTAAAACGTATAATATTTTAGAAAAGTGCGATTTAAAACACTTTAACATATAGCGTAAGGTTTTATCGTTATATTAGAAAATACGTAGATACGTCAATAAAATAGCCTAATAGGAGCCTTCCAATTTTCGGTTTAAGCAAAAATTTCGAAATAATTACGTAAATGTGAACCATTGATTGCTCGTTGTACTTCATACGCATCTCTGAATATGAAAGAGCTTAAAATTGATCTATTTTTAAACGGTTGGTCATTATGATGTTTAATACCATCTGCCTGATTATTATGAGATGTTAATACCTGGATTTAATCCTTGAATAATAAATCATTTCTCCTCCTCTTCTGTTATCTTAAATATTGCCTAAATCTACTTTGTTATGAACTGCTTTCTATATATCTCATTCAAATAACGATAGGACTAAATATGAAAGAAAATATATCTACCATAATTACATTTCGATTTATATGATACAGTGAGAAATTTTATTGTTGTATTTTTATATTTTGTTCTATATAGTTTTTTCTTGTAATGTGCGCGTGTGTGTGTGTGATAAAAAGATAACACGTAAATTATTAACTTTAGATTAAAAAACATGAATAAATAAATCTGGATTTTTTTATTAAGTATTAACGCATTTGAGAAAAAATAAGAAAAATGTATTGTTTACAAAATGTATTTTTAAATTAATAAATAAATTAATAAATTAATAAATTTTACAACTAAAAGTATTACTGATTATAAATGCAGCTATCATCTTCATAGAAATTGTCTAGCATCCTTGAAAGATTAAATCTTACCTTTATGATGTTTCCATCAATATAGCTAGACATAAAAATAGCGAGTTGTTATCTTAGAAATAGCTATGCATTGACATTTGCATAAATAAGTAATGCAGTGGTTCACGATCGATAAAAAAATAGGTTCAAGAACAAGCTGATATTAATTATGCAGCGACATCATGCAGAGACTTCAAAGACCCATACCTTAAATTATATTATAAATAAATGGAGAAGACCTAAATAAAAACAGTGTGAATAAATTGGTAAATATTCTTGAGATCTTTGCATTTAGCGGCGTATTGAAAACTGTTTATTCTCTTTTTCTCCCTTTCACACGCACATACACACACAAATATAAAAATCGACATCCGTAATAATTAATTGGTTTTACAGTAAAGATTTTATTCTTTTCTCTTTGTTTCTAAAAATATTACTTAATTGAAATGGATTTATATACACTTTTTTTTATAGATCTTTAATGGATTTATATAGTTTGTGTAGCATATAGCTTGATCATTTAACAGTGAATACGTTATTACAGTATATTTGACGTTTCTGAAATAATAATGGAGACCGGTAAGAAAATCAGGTTTAATTCAACGCGTTATTTCTTGCAGTGTCATAAATGAACATAGCTAGCGCGTTCACTTCTGAATACGTGGAGCCATTGTTTATACGTCTGCGTCTTGAAAGCACTTCTTCTTGTTAAATTTTTCAAAACGCGCATTCCGCCGCATCTTTAGCTTAATTTACATATGGCAATTTACAACCAATTAATAATTCAAATGCTTTCTGCACTTACGCTGAGAGAAATGCATTGCAATGATAATTTTATATTAATGAAAACGGGTTAAAAATTATACTTAACAATTTATAATTGATAATAATTTTTAATAAATCTTTAAATTACCTGATATCTTATATAATAACATAAGTACACTTAAATATTTTTGGTTTTGCTTGTCTTAAACTCAGAATTGAGTAAAAACAATGGTAAATATTACTTTATTTAAAAAATTAAAACGTTATCCTAAAGTTATATAAAATGTTCAAACAAATTATTATTTTGCTTTCGAACATTATATTTTACCGTAACATAATTCGCCACGAAAACTTTGAAATTTATAACGAGCTTTCACGCGCACTAATGAGACTAATACTTTTGCATGTAGAATGACACGTTACAAAATAATAATTTGGCGGATAAAAAAATAATGGAAAAGACGATGCGTAACAACCTTGTCATTTTGACAAAGTAATGTTCCTTAGGAAATGCCTGTTAATTAAAATGTTTGCACACATAAGCAATTAACAGTGTTAATTGAAATCCATTACAAATATTAAATTAAACATTAATAAAAATATTGTTACAAAATATCAATTGTATGTCAATATATTTTAAGCTAGTAATAAATAAAGCATTATTAAATAATAATATTTAAAAAATACTGGAAATAACGTTATTAAAACAAAGTTGTTTGATGGGAACAAATCATGTTTATTTCATAATATGTACAGAATTTTGTTGTCACAATATAATATTAACAGTTCCGTGAGAGTAAGGAATGTTATCATGAATATATAAGACGTATATTTATATGTATAATTACATTATTAAGTACGCCTGAATATTAAATAACATCGAACTTCTTCTGTTACAATTCTGTCAGTCTCATTAATGAGTAAGAAAATAATGTCTTTCAAAGGGAGAAGATGGGATGTTAGGCTTACTAATTTATTATTATTGGCCATTTAGCGATCGTGCAACCAGAATTATGTATATAACGTTCGATAATTACTTATGACAAAGCTTGTTGTAAAGCATGAAGATGATAATATTATGACATTATGTGTAACGTTGTACTCGTAATGTATAATTAAACTAGAATTCAGATTATAGCAACGTCCTCTTTAGTTTGGAGCCCCTCGCACATTGTTCGAGCATTCATTTTAAAGGTCTGTACCTGGCTTTCGGCCACGCTTTGTCGCCATCTGACAGAAGTAGATTTAAAACGACCTGGAAACAAAGTAAAGTGTGCAAGTTCAAATGTTTGCTATTGTCATTTATTTTTTTGCCGACCTAGGACACGCATTATGGAAAATTCCTTTTCTCGCAGAATGCAAATGGGCATTGGAAAATTATTTGAATTCGAATTTTAATTCTGCATTGTCTGAATTTGTTAATTACCTTACACGATCAAAGAGATTTTGTAACATTATTCGTATGCATTATATGTACTTTTTTAACGTGCTACATATATTTGCAATACTGGAAGTAAATTTTCCAATCGCGTTCTCTCTGACTAATCTGACCCGTAAATTACAATGATTGAAGTAGGAAATGACAAATTGAGGCACAAATTGGTTCACGCCTGGTCGTTCTGTTTCAAGCCCATTTTAAATTTAAAAGCTTTTAAAGGAATCCTTTCTAATTTTTATAACACAAAAAAAATAACAAATCTCGGAATGCAATCGAATCTATAACACAATATAAATTTAGGGATTAGAATATATTTACAGAAATAAATAACATGTATCGACGTATTGCCCATAAGTTTATAATTATTGTGTACAAATTATTGTGCATTATTTCGTTTGACTTTTTAATTATATTTTATGCCTTATATTGCAAATATATTGTAGATAATTTATAGTCTTTGTCCTTTTTTTGTCTCATAATGTATGATATTTTTGATTAGACTATCAAGTTGGATTGATGCGCGTCTCTTAAGAGAAACTGAACATATTGTTGCGTACTTTGTATAACTTACGCGAAGACAATTTCACATTGAGAATAATGATAAGATTAGATTAAACAATATGTCTTTGCCTAGAGGCTAAAATTCCGCGGATAGTTGATATAAAATATAGCGTGGTTTAAAATTCAACGTTACCTCAGAGGTTTAACGATAACATTCTTCAACATATATTTATCATACGCTAAATAAAGTATGCGAAATACTTGCCCGCAAGTATGTATAAAACAGACTATCCTTCATTACGTATAACGAAAATGTTTTAGGCGTGGTAAGAGAAAGAAAGGAAAATAAATTTGATGTACGTATATAAATCTTATAATAAATACACCTTTGTTCTGTCAAATAGTTTTAAAAATATGATAGATATGAAACGTGATTAAAGAGCTTCCAGAAATGCGAAACAATAAATCGATACATATAATTCTTGTTAGATTTTATTTTTGCTTATCGTTCTGCGAACATTTCGAAAACGTTTTACGATATTAAATTTTCAGGACAAAATGTTCTTATCTTGCTTCATTGTGTACAATTTTCAAACTATATAAAGTAATAAAAAAAGTAATGTTCTTATAAATATTATAAATTGAACGATAATATATTATTGCTGTAATAGCGCAATTCGAAAAATTGTTTTTTTCTTATAAATACATATATATTTTTAATATTTTATTTGTGAATACTTTTACAAAGTCAAAATATTAAATTTTACAACATATTTATATTTATTATTGTAGACGTATGTTATATATTATTATAAGTTATGTATTATATGTATACGAGAAATAGAAGAAAATATCCTTTTGATTTGAAAGTTTGAGTGTCATACTTTTAAAGGCGCTTGAACACAGTTGAAAGGTGCCGCTATTCATATCTTGACTATCTTTTACATCAGTGAAGTTCTATTTGTATGAATTGCGTAACTGTAAAGCTCTATCTATAATAAGCAAAAATAGAACGGAAATCTTTTTCATATAAAATATTTTATTTTTGAAAGGTAAAAGTAAATTGTTAAAAAAGTTTATGGAGTTATGGAGTTATTTGCGTTTATTTGACGAGATACTGGGCGAATCGATATTGTCCGTCGAGTGACGTTTTGGACGAAATAATTCGGTGATTGACTCTTTTGATTCGTTACACACAATTTCCATTGTGTCAAACGAATCATATCAACGAATTATTGTTAAAAATTATCCTCTAGATGTGATTTAACGTGCTTTTGCAATAAATACAATGGTACAAGAGGCACAAAAGATCCTAATTATAATATATTTTATTAAAAATAGTAATAAATGAACAAGTGTAAATTTTTCTTAAATGAGTACTTTACCCAAAGCAATTCGAAATGCCAATTTCGATCTCAAGATCGATCAAGATCTTATACAAATCATAAAGCAAACTATCCAAATCGTTTATGTGTTCATATAAGAATGTTTTCTCTTTATATAGCACAATGAAATGTTGTCGGTCACCTGTCATTTGCAACTAACAATAAGTAAAAATTATACTCACTCGAATTGCATGGCATGAGTTCTGAACGCTGAAACCCAGCCAGTTCTTGAGTTTCATGGGTTTGCACGTTTGTCCGATCTATCACGCAGTAGCATTTGCAGATTACCAATTCAAAGTAAACTCGAAACCTGCAACAGTTAATACGTTTCATGATACGTGCAGCTCTATTTGTAAATAAGTCTGCTCATCTAATTAACCAGATCGCAATGCATTTAAGCAAATTATTGTCAATGTAAGACACTGCGGTTTGCGTGCTCACATACGAGTGAAATTTAAATTGGGTCGGAGAAAATGATCGAACGCGAGATTAGTACTTTGAATTCAGATCGGATAATAATATCCTCATATTTTTCTGTCTTAAAATGGAATCAATTAAAACTTTCAAGTATAAGATCGTATGTAAGAGATCCAGAGTGTAGGTATGTACATATAGCATTTGCCATCATTCTTTCAACCTATTTTCAGCAGATCGATGATTACATAAATCTGTTACGTCTTTTTGCGTTGTTTTTATATAATTATACTACTTTATTTTTATACTAAAAATTACTTGCATTAAAGATAAAAATATAGTAAATATAGTAAATTTTATTTACTATAGTTTTTTTTAGTACAAATTAGAATATCAAGCTCTATTTGGATATATCTATCTTTATTGTATGAATTATCTTATTATGTTGTAAACTATAATGTAGGTATAAACTGATGTTGTTAGTGAGGAGCGACACAGCGACTGTGTTGTCCGAATTTATTTTTGGGTCAGGAGCTCTCTTTCTCTATCTCTCTCTGCCTTTATCTTTCTCTCTCTCTCTCTTTCTCTTGCTCTCCTGCGGAAAGGTGTTACATCCTTCCGAGAGTCGAAATAATAGGGAACACAATATAACCCTTGTCGCCGACAACAAATTATATTAGCTAGTACAAGCGAATAGACATTGTCTTGATTTTTGCGAGCAGGAAGATTCTTTTCGGATCTACTTGTATAAAAACGCCTAATAACGAAAATTTTAATATCAATTCTCGGCAATTTTCTCGGAAAAGCCTCGACCTCTCAAGAAGAGAGCAGCTATAAGAAAAGGACAATCTACCACCGAGGAAATGAATCTATGCTCAGCCTTCTAATTTACGATATCTCTCGCTTAGTTTATAATAAACATATTATACGTATACCTTAGACGCCACCCTTGCCTTTTCATCCAACCCTCCGATCGATCGCAAAAGGCGAGGGAGCGCCTACATTATCATAAATATTTAATATCAATATATTAAAATATATTAATATAACCAAGCATATTAAATAGAATCAAGAATATAGGCAGAAAATTAAAATTCTTAAAGCCATTAAAACTGGTAACGTTATAATGTAGGCACTGTTGACCGCGTTGTACTCTCAAAACCTTTCATAAAGTAACATTTTCTGTTAAAAATAAATTTTCCTAATATTTTCTTGCACAAATAAGGGTCAGAGCAATTTATTTCGATTTGAATTATTGACGTAAACAATGGTACATAAAATATATTGGTCTTGACAGATATAATCCTGGTAAACGACCTGTTTTCTTATTCGACCTTCTGACCAGGATCTTGACAGCTCGTTCATAATGCTCTTAGAGAAACTTGATAAAGTTCTGCTTTTGTTGTAGATAATATATAGACGTCTTCTGAATCTACAGGGTGCTACGCAAGACTTTGACGTCCGGTCATGGGAAGGTAGAGGGGACTAAGACAAACAGGAAAGTATTGTACTATTTTGCGCTTGGACGAATAGTTATCGAGATACGAAATTTTAAAAATCGCCGTATTAGCCCAACCTACTGGCGAATGTAAGCGCGCGGTGAGGTGACCGGCCTAGCGGCCCCGCGCGGGGAGACGTGCGAGCGGTCGCGTAAGCGGCGGACGGGCAGCGGCGCGCCTCGCCTCCCTACTCC